TGAGATCCTCTGTGTTCAACGTGACCTGCTGAGTCACCTCTGGTACTTCATCTCAGACACCACCTCTTCCTCTCCTGTCCTCTGCAAGGTGCCCTGAGCAGATGGCCTCAAGCAACAGGACACTCTGAACGGGCAGGCTCCTTTTTATCCAAGACCTCTGCTTCAAGATATGGACAACACATACTGTATATGTGCAGATGCATTCAATGCTATGAGAATTGTAGTACACATAGAGCGAAGCATGTGGGCAGAAATCACAAGCACTTCTCATAGTAGTGAGGTGCATCAGCAAAGGAACGGGAACATGCATAGGATAAAAAAAAAGCTTGAAAAGCATGGTAAGAAAAAAAGGTTATAGTATACAGGATATTTTAGAACAATTGATGTAAAAAAACAATTTTGTGTCAATTAAGGTATTGTGGTGGGGGCATAAGTGTGGTGGCTTAGAAAACATGGAGTTGGACTGAAGCCTGGATCCACGCTTGAGTATAATTTTGGAGGTTTTTTTTTTTTTTTTTTTTTGTATGTCTTGAGCATTTTTATTTTAACCAATGAAAAGCTAGTTACTAAGAGGAGACAGGTGTTAGGTGCAAAATTTCAGGACAAATGCATGTTACATGTGGTTTTCACATGATTCTTTTGAAGTGCATTGGGACCAAACACACGCAATTATACACTAAAGAAGCTCCTGTAATTTTTCTAAACGTTGAGTGACAGCACATCATTCAGATGTGAACAGTTACAGTAAGACTATTTTCACACTGAGGTGTTTTTCAAGTGTTTTTGCTTTAAAAAAAGCGCCTGAACAGCTGAAGAAAAATGCTTCCCTATGTATGTGAATGTATATGTATGTATGTTTTCACACTGATTCATTGTGCTTGTGGTGTGGTGTAAAAACTCCTGCTTGCAGCATCTTTGGGGCATGTTTGGTGAGTTAAATAAAATGCCCCAAAAACATCTCTTCCCATTGAAATCAATGGAAAATGCTTGAAAAGCGCCTCAAAAATGACTCTGAAAAACATTTTTGGTGCAGTTTTAAGTCACGTGCTCTTTAAAAATCGCTCAGAAACAGCGTTCTTGTGTTCTTGCTGTGTTTTTGCGGTGAATCATTGTGAAAGTAGCCTAACATGGAAATCTGAGTGTTGAACAGTGAAACTACTACTGACATAGCATACAGAAGCAGGGTTTTTTTTAAACTGCTGACTGCTGTGTGTAAATCTTACAATCCAATCGGGCCCCCAGTATGTTACCCCCCCAACAATGCCCCTGCCATGTTTCAGCTCCCACCTTAGAGCCCAGGGCCCGCATGGCAGTTGTCATCAGGTACAAGGGAGGGAGCCCAGTGAACATTAGTAAGCTGATCTCCTCAGTTAGTAAGAACATGGAAGTGACAACATTTCTGCTGTCACTTTCCCTGGCTGCTGTGGCCAAATGCAATCTGCACACCATTAACTTCAGTGTTGTGCAGCATAGACATCAAGGGTTTCAGTAAACAGAATCTGTCACAGTAAAAAATGTTATCACATAGGCTTTAGTGATAACAATACAGTTAAATGCAAAAAAAAGAAGTAAAAAGTGTATAAAATTTAAGGTACATTTAAGAAATTAACCACTTCCAGACTGGACACTTTTACCCCCTTCCTGACCAGGGCAATTTTCAGCTTTCAGTTGTATCACACTTTGAATGACAATTGCGCGGTCATGCAACACTGTACCCAAATTAATATTTTACCACTTTTTTGAGACAGATAAAGCTTTATTTTGGTGGTATTTATTCACCGCTGGGATTTTTTTTTTTTTTTTGCTATGTAAATGAAAAAGTCCAAAAATTCTGAAAAAAAAGTGGGTTTTTTTATAAAATTTTGCAAATAAATAATATTTCATCATAAATCTTGGCCAAAATTTATTCCGTTATCTTTTTAGTAAAAAAAAAAAATCCAAATTAGTTTATAACCAAAAATTATAATTTTTAAAAAATGTTTTTACATTTTTATTTTATTTTTTTTTATATTTTTTTATTTACATACTGTCACCCTTATCAGTACAGTGTCACCATGGTGACACTGTACTACTTGTGGGGGGTGATGAAGATTTTTTTTTTTTTTTTTTTACACTGATTGCTTTTACACCTACAGTCATGGCCGAAATTGTTGGCACCCTTGATATTTTTCCTGAAAATCAAGTATTTCACACAAAAAAAGGTATTGCATTAACACATGTTTTGCTATACACATGTTTATTCCCTTTGTATGTATTGGAACAAATATAAAACAGAGGCAGAAAAGCAAATATGACATAATGTCACACAAAACCCCAAAAATGGGCTGGACAAAAGTATTGGCACCCTTAACTTAATATTTGGTTGCACACCCTTTGGAAAACATAACTGAAATCAGTCGCTTCCTATAACCATCAATAAGCTTCTGACACCTCTCACCCGGAATTTTGGACCACTCTTCCTTTGCAAACAGCTCCAGGTCTCTCTTATTGGAAGGACACCTTTCCCAACAGCAATTTTAAGATCTCTCCACAGGTGTTCAATGGGATTTAGATCTGGGCTCATTGCTGGCCACTTCAGAACTCTCCAGCGCTTCTTTGCCATCCATTTCTGAGTGCTTTTTGACGTATGTTTGGGGTCATTGTCCTGCTGGAAGACCCAGGATCTTGGACGCAAACCCAGCTTTCTGACACTGGGCCCTACAGTGCGACCCAAAATCCTTTGGTAATCCTCAGATTTCATGATGCCTTGCACACAGTCAAGGCACCCAGTGCCAGAGGCAGCAAAACAACCCCAAAACATCATTGAACCTCCACCATATTTTACCGTAGGTACTGTGTTTTGTTCTTTGTAGGCCTCATTCCGTTTTCGGTAAACAGTAGAATGATGTGCTTTACCGAAAAGCTCTATCTTGGTCTCATCTGTCCACAAGACGTTTTCCCAGAAGGCTTTTGGCTTACTCAAGTACATTTTGGCAAACTGTAGTCTTGCTTTTTTATGTCTCTGTGTCAGCAGTGGGGTCCTCCTGGGTCTCCTGCCATAGCGTTTCATTTCATTTAAATGTCGACGGATAGTTCGCGCTGACACTGATGCTCCCTGAGCCTGCAGGACAGCTTGAATGTCTTTGGAACATGTTTGGGGCTGCTTATCCACCATCCGGACTATTCTGCGTTGCAATCTTTCATCAATTTTCCTCATCCGTCCACGACCAGGGAGATTAGCTACAGTGCCATGGGTTGCAAACTTCTTGATAATGTTGCGCACTGTGGACAAAGGCAAATCTAGTTCTCTGGAGATGGACTTGTAACCTTGAGATTGTTGATATTTTGCCACAATTTTGGTTCTCAGGTCCTCAGACAGTTCTCGTCTCCTCTTCTGTTGTCCATGCTTAGTGTGGCACAGACAGACACACAATGCAAAGGTTAAGTGAACGTCTCTCCTTTTTATCTGCTTTCAGGTGTGATTTCTATATTGCCCACACCTGTTACTTGCCCCAGGTGAGTTTACAGGAGCATCACATGCTTGTAACATTCTTATTTATCCGCAGTTGTGAAAGGGTGCCAATACTTTTGTCCAGCCCATTTTTGGAGGTTTGTGTGACATTATGTCGAATTTGCTTTCTTTCCTCCCTTTTTTGTTTTGTCCCAATACACACAAAGGGAATAAACATGTGTATAGCAAAACATGTGTTAATGCAATACGTTTCGTGAGAAATACATGATTTCCTGGAGAAATATCAAGGGTGCCAACAATTTCGGCCATGACTGTATATAGGATGTAAAAGCAATCATTTCTCTTTCTCTCTGTCTGCATTCTTGCAGTCATTGAGAAGTACTGAGTGAGCTGTGATTGGTCACAGCTTGTCACATGGTACAAGGCTGTTGTGAATAGCCTTATACCATGTGACCTCTGTGATCACTCACAGATTTCACACGTAGTAAGCAATGATGTCAGAAGTGACATCTTCCTTACTACTTTGCATGGGATCATTGATTGGCCAATCAGTCCCGTCCAACGATCGGTGTTTCACTGTGTCCGGAGGACACAGCGGGCACCGGATCGCGGTGCTGCGCACTCCCAGGGAGTGCGCACAAGCAGGGTGCGGGGAGGCCGTTTATAAACGGCCACCCGACCCTGCACTGCCACCGTCCGGCCGTTTATATAGAACGGCCGGTCGGGAAGTAGTTAAAAATTCCTTCTGAAAAAAATGTTTGAGATTTCCCCCTTGACTCCTGTATCTAAATGCACATGTTAAGGGAAGCTTATGTACAAAAATATTGATCGCACTATGCATGTTACATATTTCCGCACACATTGCAGTGGGAGCAATAATTCTAGGGTCATTATTCACAGTTAGCTCTAAATTTATGATCTGTGGGGGTTTTTGAAGTGTTTCCTATGATACATTTTGGGCACTGAAGCTAGACCTAGTACTGACAAATGGGGATTAATTGTCTGATGTTGTGGTGAGAAAAAATTTGGGTACTAGTGGTCACCAATGTGTTTTGTTTGATATTTAACTACTTGACAACCGGGCTATAGCCGAATGACGGCTACAGCGCTGTTGTCCAGTTCTGGGGGGCGCCACATGATATCCTCCCAGAACGCGCCCCCAGTGGGCACACACCCGGTGATCTCCACGATTGCTGTGTCCAATGACACAGCAGATCACCAGATAAATGCAGTTGCCGGTTGTCGGCTGCACTTTCCTCGCGCTGTCACAGTGTGAGGAAAGTACTGCCGAGAACCGGCAATTGTCAGAAAAGAGATCGGCACTGATCATCATGATGATTAGTGCCCTGATGATCAGTGCCCAGCAGTGCCACCCACCAGTGCTACCCACCTGTGCCCAGCAATGCCACCCACATGTGCCCATCAGTGCCACCTACCTGTGCCCAGCAGTGCCACCCACCTGTGCCCAGCAGTGCCACTCATCAGTGCCCAGCAGTGCCGCCAGTCAGTGCCACCCATCAGTGCCCATCAGTGCTGTCCACTAGTGCCACCTATCAGTGCCCATCAGTGCCACCTATCAGTGCCCATCATTGCTGCATATCAGTGCAGCAGCATCAGTGCCAGCTCATTAGTTCCTCCTATCATTGCCCCTCAGTGCTGCCTATCAGTGCCCATCAGTCCTGCCCATCAGTGCAGCCTCATCAATGCACATCAGTGAAGGATAAAAATTACCTGTTTGCAATATTTTATTAAAAAAACAACTTTTTTTGTTTGCTCTTTTTTTGTTTACAGCGCAAAAAATAAAACACCAAGCGGCGATTAAATACCACCAAAAGAAATCTCTATTTGTGTGGGAAAAAAATGCAAAAATGTCATATGGATACAGTGTTGCATGACCGCACGATTGTCATTCAAAGTGCAACAGCTGAAAATTGGCCTGGGCAGGAAGGGGGTATAAGTGCCCGGTATGCAAGTGGTTAACCAAGAACTGAAAAAATCATATACAAAAATTAAAGCTTTGGATTTTAAAAAGGCCAAATTTTGCTGAAATTTCTAAATAATGAATTAACAGGTTGAAGTAAAACTGTCAGTAATCAGTGGACACTACTGAATTCTACCATCCTGGAGGTAACTAGATTATATGTCAGGAAAATTAGTAAGAGTAAAAGTAAGAGAAAAACAATATGCTTCACTAAAGAGGTAAGCACTATAGAAAAGGAGACAAAACAGCATATAGCTAATTCAAGGAAAGTGTGACTGATAGAGACATGTATAAAAAAATATTCAAAAGGAGTCCAAACACATTGGAGTTGATTTACTAAAGGTAAATATACTGTGCATTGCAAGTGCAGTTGCTTTAGAGCTGAGGGGAAGTTTTGAAATGAGGCGAAGCTGTGATGATTTCTTTCATCCAATCATGTGCAAGCAAAATGCAGTTTTTTTTTTTTTATTTTCCTTGCATATTTCCCTCAGATCTAGAACAGCTGCACTTTCAGTGCACTTGAAAGACTATTTGCCTTTAGTAAATCAACCCCACTGAGTGCTGCCAAAGCACAGAAAGAGAAGGAATTGCTACATCTATTAGAAAAGGAGATAGTAACATGTTATGAAAGGTTTTACTTATCCTTTAACCACTTCGCCTCTCACACCGGTTCACCCCATATGGACCAGAGCAATTTTTACATTTCTGCCTGTTTATTCAGCGATAACTTTGTCATTACTTAAGATTAGAGATGAGCGAATTATTCAAAAATTCGATTCGGCTGATTCGCCGAATTTGCTGGGGAGAAATTTGATTCGAATTTATTCGCCGCGAATTTAACTTATTAAAAAGGGTTTCTAGGCTTCAGAGAGAGCCTTTATATTAGTGTGCAGAACACTGTACCCTTTAATTTAAATGCCCTTGGAGTCTGCTGGGGAAGAGAAATAATACTGTCTGTCAGTATGACATGCAGATGAGTGCTGTCGATCTTAGAATCACTGCACACTTCACTCATTTGGGCAGTCACGGGGCACGACGAAGAAGAAGAAGAAGAAGAATGAAAAGAAGAATGAAAAGAAGAAGAAGAAGAATGAAAAGAAGAAGAAGAAGAATGAAAAGAAGAATGAAAAAGAAAGAATGAAAAGAATGATGAGAAGAATGAAAAGAAGAAGAAGAAGAATGAAAAGAAGAATGAGAAGAAGAATGAAAAGAAGAATGAAAAGAAGAATGAGAAGAATGAAAAGAAGAATGAAAAAGAAGAAGAAGAAGAATGAAAAGAAGAATTAAAAGAAGAAGAAGAAGAATGAAAAGAAGAAGAAGAAGAAGAAGAATGAAAAGAAGAATGAAAAAGAAGAAGAAGAATGAAAAAAGAAGAATGAAAAGAAGAATGAGAAGAAGAATGAAAAGAAGAATGCAAAAGGAAGAATGAAAAGAAGAATGAGAAGAATGAAAAGAAGAAGAAAGAAGAAGAATGAAAAGAGAATGAGAAGAAGAATGAAAAGAAGAATGAAAAGAAGAATGAGACGAATGAAAAGAAGAATGAAAATGAAAAGAATGAAGAAGAAGAATGAAAAGAAGAAAGAAGAAGAAGAATGAAAAGAAGAAGAAGAAGAAGAATGAAAAGAAGAATGAAAAGAAAGAAGAATGAAAAGAAGAAGAAGAATGAAAGAAGAAATGAAAAGAAGAAAGAATGAAGAAGAAGATTGAAGAATGAAAAAGAAGAATGAAAAGAAGAATGAAGAAGAATGAAAAGAAGAAGAAGAAAGGAAGAAGAAAAGAAGAATGAAAAAAGAAGAATGAAAAGAAGAATGAAAAGAAGAAGAAGAAGAAGAAAAAGAAGAAGAAGAAGAATGAAGAGAAGAAGAAGAAGAATGAAAAGAAGAAGAAGAAGAATGAAAAGAAGAATGAAAAGAAGAAGAAGAAGAATGAAAAGAAGAAGAAGAAGAAGAATGAAAAGAAGAAGAATGAGAAGAAGAATGAAAAGAAGAATTAAAAGAAGAATGAAAAGAAGAATGAAAAGAAGAAGAAGAAGAATGAAAAGAAGAAGAAGAATGAAAAGAAGAATGAAAAGAAGAAGAGTATGAAAAGAAGAAGAAGAAGAATGAAAAGAAGAATGAAAAGAAGAAGAAGAATGAAAAGAAGAAGAAGAATGAAAAGAAGAATGAAAAGAAGAAGAAGAAGAATGAAAAGAAGAATGAAAAGAAGAAGAAGAAGAATGAAAAGAAGAATGAAAAGAAGAAGAAGAATGAAAAGAAGAAGAATTCCAGTACAGCAAAAAGTGTATCTGCAGAGAGCTCCGCTATTTTCTGACAGTTCTCTGACAGTTCTGACAGTTCATTTACAGCGGTTGAAACATTGTATCTATTTATTTCCGAATAAAAACATCTGTATCCTAAATGGAAACAAATAGATACAATGTTTCAACCGCTGTAAATGAACTGTCAGAACTGTCAGAGAACTGTCAGAAATAGCGGAGCTCTCTGCAGTGACACTTTTGCCGGCTGATCGGGGAAAATTCGATTCGTGCATCCGAAGTTTGCTAAAATTCGGATTCGATGCGAATCGAATTTTTCCTAATATTCTAAACGAATTCCACTTCGCCAAGTTCGATTCGCTCATCTCTACTTAAGATCAAAACGTAATACACATATTGCTTTTTTTTTTTATGACAAACAAGGCTTTGCAACAATGATTTTATTTTCACAATCTTATACAATTAAACATAACAAGTGTAACAAAACAACACTTCCTTTTCAAGCAGTGTTAGTTTAAAAATTAATAGTGCTACTGCACATAGAAACTGCACATTTTATTTTGTAATTTGTCCTGTTTAAATTGAAACAAAAATTATGATTTTGATAAAAACATTGCAAATTTTTTACAATTGAAAAGCAAACAAAAACAAAAAAAAGTTCAAATATTATATTATTATTATTAGTTAATAAAATAGAAATTAACAAAAAAAATCAGCAGGAAAATAATAATTGAATGGAGAAGAAGAAAAAGGAATTAATTAGGGCTCATAATTATAAACTACAGGTTAATAAGGGTTTTTTAGCAATATAGTGTATCTCCTAGACATGCACCGTTTAGGAGATATTTACTAAAGAAGCAGCTGTTGATGTCACCAGCGCATGCGCTCTGAAGAAATGGCACACTGTACCTTTCCTTCAGAGCTCTGTGCCATGAACAGTGACTCCCGTGCGCATGCAAGGGAGTGACATCATCACGGCTCAGCCATTCATATTGCCAAAGCCCGCGAACCCGGAAGGAAGACTGGGTGAAGATGGAAGTGCCTACATTGGTGACATTGTGCCACTGTGGGGCTTAGCTTTCAGGAACGTCTGTCATAATGTGCTAGTATGCAGTGATACTAGCAAATTATAACTTAAACTGCCCAGGGCCATTTTTTTTTTTTTTTTTGCTGCAGTTTACTACTGCTTTAAACCACTTCCAGACCGGACACTTTTACCCCCTTCCTGACCAGGGCACTTTTCAGCTTTCAGCGCTATCACACTTTGAATGACAATTGCGCCGTCATGCAACACTGTACCCAAATGAATTTATTACCATTTTTTGGAGACAGATAAAGCTTTATTTTGGTGGTATTTATTCACCGCTGGGATTTTTTATTTTTTTTGCTATGTAAATGAAAATGTCCAAAAATTTTGAAAAAAGTGTTTTTTTTTAATAAAATTTTGCAAAGAAATAATATTTCATCATAAATCTTGGCCAAAATTTATTCCGTTACCTTTTTAGTAAAAAAAAAAAATCCAAATTAGTTTAGAACCAAAAATTAATATATTTTTTTAAACATTTTTTTTTACATTTTTATTTTATTTTTTTATATTATTTTTTATTTTTTTACATACTGTCACGCTTAGCAGTACAGTGTCACTATGGTGACACTGTACTACTTGTGGGGGGTGATGAAGATTTTTTTTTTTTTTTTTTACACTGATTGCTTTTACACCCATATAGGATGTAAAAGCAATCATTTCTCTGTCTCTCTGTCTGCATTCTTGCAGTCATTGAGAAGTATTGAGTGAGCTGTGATTGGTCACAGCTTGTCACATGGTACAAGGCTGTTGTGAATAGCCTTGTACCATGTGACCTCTGTGATCATTCACAGATTTCACACATAGTAAGCAATGATGTCACAAGTGACATCTTGCTTACTACTTTGCATGTGATCACTAATTGGACAATCAGTGATCACATGATCGGGACCTCGTACAAAGGTCCTGTCTGATGATCGGTGTTTCACTCTGTCCGGAGGACACAGCGGGCACCGGATCGCGGTGCTGCGCGCTCCCAGGGAGCGCGCACAAGTGGGGTGCGGGGAGGCCATTTGTAAACGGCCACCCAACCTTGCACTGCTACCGTCCGGCCGTTTGTATACAACGGCCAGTCAGGAAGTGGTTAATCTATCTCTTCTAACAGAAGTTCCCCCCAAACTGGTGGACAGCTAATATTGTACCTATCCACAAGAAGGGCAGCAAGGCAGAAGATTGCAATTTCAGACCAGTGAGTTTAACATCGGTTGTAGTCCAGTTAATGGAATCACTCTTAAAAAGAAGGTTCATTGATCATTTAAAAAAACACACATTC